TGTATCTCCATTCCCATATACTGCTTTAAAGCTTGATTTTAAAAACACCACTGAAAGGGAATCATGTTCATATTTGTGTTCTATTAGAAATAATGTTCTGCTGTGAACTGAGGTCCATTCCTGCCATCTTCTCACACAGTCTGTCACACACCATGTGGCATTTGGACCCAATTGATTGTTCTTCCTTTATACCCAATTGATGGTCCATGAAAAACTTTCCAATTCATCATAATCATATAACATTTAGTCCTTTCTGCCTATATCCCTGTAGTACATCAATGTATTACTTGATGACGTCTCAGCTGGTGTCACCTGTACACTCAGTGAGCACACTTATTGGGTATATACTACCATGTCCCCCTGAATCATGAGTAACTACATCCCTTTTAATATGTCAACCAGACCATATTTTTAGCACACCTACTTTTTGATGACTATATTGCATGACCTGAATTAAAACCTTAAAAAAGGCAAGATATATTATACTCATTGTTTCTTTGTGTCCTTTCAACCAGCTATTTTATTATGAAAGATTAGGAAGCCCAATTCAATGATTCAAATAAAATATTTTGCAAAGAACAATTAGAATTTTGGGAACAAATTGACAAATTCTTGGATGGAAAACCATTATGAAGGGAGGGTCCAAGAGGGGTTTATTGTTCACAACTTTGCTTAAGCAGGTCCTTGCCTAGAGTATTGCGGCGTGCAGTCATTAAACCCACATGGTTAGGAAACCCCTTTATTTCACTTCCCTCTAGCCAAATTGCTGTATTTCAGAGCAGTTCCCTCCTCCTTGGTTTTTCTATTTTGATGTGAGAAAATCAAGAACTAGGAGAGAGGAATGAAACAAAGCCCAGAAGGAAATATCAGTAATTGATATTCATCTGATACAATATTGTCTGTGACTTCTATGTCAAAAGAGAATACGAATAAAATAAAGAAGAGAATGGGAACTCTTCATAGAGCAGATTATGTTGGATTAATCTTGTTTCTCTCAGGAAAGAAAGAAGCATGCTGAAAAATCACATAATTGAAAGCAGTGCTAAAGTAACACTGACTGGAGGACAAATCAATGTTCTGTGCCAGAGGTTGGTAAACTTAGGCTGGTATGCCAAATCCAGCTAGCTGGTCACCTATTTTTTGAATGGCCTGTAAGCTAAGAATGTTTTTTACGTTTTTATAATAGCTGAAAAAAAATCAAAGAATAATATTTTGAGACGTGTGAAAATCAAATTACATGAAATTCACATTTCAGTGTCTATACAAGTCTTTTTGAAACACAGCTGTGCTCATTCACTTGCATGCATTGTCTTTGGCTGCTTTCTACAGTGGCTGATTTGAGTATTCGTGACAGCTACTATGTGATTCCCAGGCCTAAGATATTTATTATCTGCCTCTTTCCAAAACAAGTTTCCCAACCTTAGCAGATGGAAAATTGCAACTTTGTAATTGAATTTAAAGGGGCAGACGGGTATTTTAATGACAACTGGAGAAAATTGTGTTTGTTTTGCAGTGATGAAACTGCTTTTAAACCCTGGTTAAGGCTTTAGAACGGCAGGCGAGGCAGTAGGTGGATACATTCATTTCCCATTGTGGCTTATGTTCTTGTGAGTGATCACTTTGGTGACAGTGAGATGCAGGTAGCATTTTAGGATTGGCAACATTATCTATTCCATACCTTTCTTTCCCTCAAGAGTATGTTTTCCATAGTGTTAATGCTTAAAAGAAGGCCAGTGTGACCCTGAATGACTTTCATTAAACATTTTGGACCATTAAATATTCTTTTGAAGGACTTTTGAATAAGGAATTTTCCAAAATACTTAACCATATTTCTTTTAGTTATAAATTGATTTCTTCCTGAGTCTGTTCTTATTAGCCGATAACAAGTACACAAAAAGGGAGCCTCGTAAAACATCATAACTTTGCATTTTAAGGGATTTTCCTCCTATAAAGGCAAATGTTTAGGAAGATGGAAAGTGACCAGTGCTCCAGACTTGGTTCATCTCCAACTCTCAAAGCAGAGACCAGTTGAGTCACTGCTTTTCAAAGGACATTTGTTCAGAAATTCATATTGTCTTGCTAAATCTCAAGTAGAACACCTAAGATAAAGTCACTTAAAAATATCCATACATTTGTAAAATGAGGGGACTATAAAGTCCAGTTCCGTTTTGATTGAATGGATTCTCTGGGTGAGTGAGTAGATGGTGCAAATCTACAGATCTGGTTATGCTCCTGAAGGAACTGAGAATCTTAAATGTAGAAGAGATAAAGAGAGCGTTGCTAAAATTGTACAAAATCAAAGTTACTAATCCAATCCCAGAACACGAGTTCGAATGACATCCTAGCACTCTGTTAAAGGAAATTAACTTTTCTACACCCTTTACATCCCCTCAAGAAAAAGAAAAAGTGTTTCTTGAAAGTTATCACTCCTCCAAAAAACATTACAGAAGTAATGAACTAACTGCATTTTTGCGTCTCTGGCCATTTCAGACGAAAGTAGGCGGGGCGAACCACGGCGGAGGCAGCTTTGAGGCGGTGCTCAGCTCCACGGCCCACGCCAGCGCGCAGAGCGCGGCAGGCGGCCTTCGGCGCGCGGAAGAGGAGCTGCAGTGCTAGGGCTGCAAGCCCCGCGCCCCCGGAGGCCCTTCGCCGCCTGCGCACGGCAGATGTGAAGACCAAAATCCCGCTGGGAAATCCATGCCTTGATCCTGTTCTTCAAATGGCCTCACCACAGAGTTTAATAAAATGATTTCCGTTTGTTTGTGTTGATAATGGACCACTTGACCATCACACTTCAGTATTCATAGATTATCTTTCCGAATGCCCTGACTTGAGCACGTACATAATTGATCATGACCCTTCTCTGTGTAACTCAAACATATTTTCCAGACACGAGCTATTAATTATTTGTTTTGATTTTTGCTCGGACTCCTTTACCTTGTGCATGTCTTTGAAGGCTGAGTGAGAACTTCCTTTCAGTTCAGTCACCCCACTGGGTGGAGCTCTTTCTGTCTCCAGCAATGGGATGACACAGCAATTTCATCAAACTGCTTGTGATGTCCCTCACCTACATCAATTACATGTTTATTTAAGCAATTAAAATAATCGATTTTAATGATGACTTTGAACCGTTTTTTTAAGTCTTCAGGGTTATTGATGACCTTAAAAGGTGGTAGCTGTGATTCTGCAGACACTATTTTAAATCAACTTCTAATCTAGTGAATATGAGAGTATGTAAGTAATTATAACCTTAACTACCTTAGGATGCTAAACTAATCTTTAATTCTAAAATTCTCTCTAATCTACATCGAGTAGTAGTTAACCTTCCACATCACATGTTTCTTTTCTAAATAGGAACTTACATTTGTTACTAGGTAGCAGAGATGCATCCTATAGATGTTTTTAAATGTATACAGATTGGACTAACCAAAAAAATAATCACAATTTATATACATATAATCTTTATATATATATGTCATATATATATATTTACCTATTATATAGTTAAATATGTAATCCAAGTAATATATATAACCTATAGTTTGTTCATTTTTAAAATTTATTAAAGTGAGAGTGAAATAAAACCAATCTGAAAAATTCTAGTCAAATTAATGGAACAGGACAAACTGTATTCCTATCTAACTGAAAATCAAGCCGATTCGGCATCACATAATCTGAGGTCTCGGACTCTTATCTTTCGAGGAAAAAAAAAAGCATTTTTTTTTAAGTGAGAATGCTCAAATATTTATATTGTTTTTAAACTTATTACCTCAGTGAGGAAGGTTTAGGACTGTGTGAAACCTCACTTGATGGGTAAATGGAAAACTGGGATAATGATTAAGTGACCAGCATTAAGTCTGACCCAGTAGAGGCTTCCAAAGTCTATGAATTTATGAATATCACAGATGGCAAAACATCCCAAATAAAACTCCTGGGCCACAGAAAATCTGGTTATAAATATTTGAACCTTATTTTGTGTGCATGTTTTCGTGTCAGGAGAAAAAAACGCCAAAATACTGACTGATGTAGTTCTGTTTTCCTACCAATTGTCTCTCCAATAATGATCATACATTGCTGATTTTCAAGCATTTATCACTGTTTAAATACTGTTGCTATGATGCAGCAATATTTTGATGCAGAGAAGCATTGCTCTTTTCAAAGAAGAGCAGCTGTATGTACATGCGTGTGCTGCTGCTGAAGAGATCATGCACCTTGCTTCCTGCAGATTGGGTATCCATGGATACTGTAGAGTTTCCAAAGAAACGCAGCCTAGAATTCACACCAGGCCAGCCTAAAGGGTCTCCTTCAAATGGAAACTGACATTTGAATTAAAGAGACAGGCATCATATTCCACACCAAAATATTGATCAGGTTTGCAAAGGTAGTAGGGTTTGCCTTCCCTTCCTAATCTTGTGTATCATTTAAAGGTAAGCGGGCAGATTACTTATCCTATGAAAGGGAAATGAGGCTAGGAAACCAGTTCTGATGTGTTCCCTATATAAGGGAACCTATATCAGGTTCAGTGACCCTAGCAATACTCTTCTTAGTATATATGTCTCACCTGGTGATAAATGTTTTTATAGCCAAGGTCTAAAGATCTGTATATCAGATGGAAAAATACAAAAAGGAATGACAAGTGGCACCGGAAACTGCATGCCCCAATCGGTATCCCCAAGTGACAAAAAGGATCAGAAGAAAGGGGGTGGGGGAGGGGGCTTAGGGCAGGCCAGAGAGAAATTAAAAATTTGGCTCTAGAGAGTAATCCTTTGAATAAAGCATTTCATCTGAGGAAATCCATTATACTACATTCCTTGTCCTGGATCCTTATCACTAAATCAGCTAAAGAATTTGTTCTTGAAAGCAATCATAATTAAATTTTCTACGAATATGGCCCTTGGGGATATAGGTTATTTATTCACAATAAGCTGATTTAAAATCTCCAATAAATATTCCAAAGTTTATTGTTTTTAAAATTTATTTAGTTCAAAAAAAGGTACCCCACCCCACCCCAAGTCTTCAGCCGTGCATTTTCATAACCACATCCTGTTCTGTAAGCTTCTTTTATTGCCACACTGTATCGCATTTCTTGCTGGAGTCCAGGCAATTGAAATTAAACAGACTCACATCTGGGGAAATCAACAGATCAACAGTGGCAAAACACAATACCATAAAACTGGAAAAATAAAACGTTTGTTACAGGAGTGCAACAACATATAGAACATCTCAGGAGTGCGGCTCCCTGGCAGCAGCAGCTATGTTAGCATTTCTTTCTGCCTCGAGTTCAGAAACAAGCTGGACTATCTCAGGGTGATTGAATTTTCCTGCAAGGCAAGAAGATGGGAAAAAGATAAGGATAAGAGTTTACATCAATCTCTCCAGCTTCATCCCAGAGCTCATCAGGGGTTCAATTCTGTGATCTGACCCATGCTTCACTCCAACGCAGAACATGATTCCAGTTCCTTCCTTCCAATTTGGAGAGGGGCCAACAGGGACCGAACACCTGGAGCTTATTCTTTTTCACCCTATATGCCACCATGCATATGGATGAGAAGGAGGCAAAGAACTGTTGATGGGACAGAGCTAGGAGAAACTTTACCAGGCAGCCTCTGAATGCCTCTACCAGGAGCTCAGGGAAAACTCAACTAGGATGGAGCCCAGAGAGCTGAAAACAATCTCTGGCCATTCAGAATCTGCAATTTATTGGGGGGACAAAGCACTTACATATAAAAAGACTAGTAGGAAGACCAGGGGGTCTAGGCTTTCCCAGGATGCAAACAATAATGCAAACATGTCTCTTACAAACACCTCTATGCTAAAACCCACTGATCTGTACTGTCTTACCTTCTCAGCCATTCCCAGATTTCTGCCTCGGGCAGCAACCAAGCTCCAAACAATCTTAGGCTGATGCTGGCTAGCAAGGGAATGTTAAAACATCTCTTCCCTATCTTTTCTTGCCAGTGCCTTTTGTTGCTTACTGTTCATTCCAATTTAACTTTATTCCATTTATTCCCTATCCACAACCTCTCCGAATGTTCCCTTCATTTTCCTGCCCTGACACCTGGCTCATCTC